GTGTTAATTATTCATGCAGGAGGCGTGGCCACGCGGTCGGCTTCACTGTGATTGGCAGATCGCTTGTTACATATTCATAACGGGGCGGGGACAAGGGGGCGGGTAAGCCGCGCGCGAGGCCCTCCCTTCCGCCCCCCCCACCCCCTCCCGAAGGGGCAACGGGCGAAAGGGCGGGAAAACGATCATTAGCAACCAATTAGCACCAAAAAAAAAAAAAAAGCCCCAAAACCCGCGCAGAAAGGCGGAATTGTTAAAAGTAGAATCATAGGTTGGAACGGGGACCTCAAGGATCATGTGGTCCAACCTTTCTAGGTAATGATACAGATTAAATGAGTCCTAAAACTGCCTCATGTTGGAGAATCCAGCGCTTCCCTTGGGACATTATTCCAATGTCTGACTGTTCTCATGGTGAAAAATCTACTCTGGAGCCCAATCAGAATCTCCCCTGGAGGAACTTGTACCCATTACTCCCTGTCTTGACACTCCTTGTAAAAAGGGAGTCTCCATCTTCTTGGTGCTCACCTTTTATGTCCTGGTAGATGGTAATTAGGTCTCCCCTCAGCCTTCTCGCAGAGAAGTCATAAATAGCAATAAAACACTACTGGAATAAACCACTTCTGTCGCCTGGAGTGATTTCTTCCCTCAGACAAGCATGTGGCTGCCACAGGCCCCCCCTTGACAACACCCTGCCCCGAAACGGGGCTGTTTGTTCCCCTGTTTCAAACATTCCTTTTTTCCCCAGCAAACCCCAGGTGTGCATCTGCCTGCCCCTCCTACACCCACAGCCTCCTTTTATCCCCAGGACTGAAATCACACCAAAAAAAATCCCAAACAACCCCATACCATTTACAAAAATACCATCATCATCCATTATTTCTCATCTTTTTCCCCCCTGGGGGACGTGGGGTGGGCGCTCTGCCCCGCACCCCCCAGCCCTGCGCTGCTCCCTCAGCGCAGCCGCCCCGGCCGGGGGCTGCCGGTGGGACAGGGATTTCCCTGAGGTAAAACACGGCTCCCTCATCACCCTCTGTAAGTAGGGATGGACCAGGAGACCTCCTCTCTGAACCGTGGGGAGTTGTGTTTTTTTGGGGGGGGGGGCAGGGGCCCGTTTTCAGCCCTGTTTTTGGCAGAGAAGTGGCGGG